CACTATGCTACCAGAGCTCCTACCTCATAGAGATGCTAAAAGTCTTAAATAAATTAGTGCATGTAAAGTACATGTTAGCTGTTGTCTCTAAGATGAAAATTCACAGACAGCAGGGATTTTCATTTTCCACCACTCTACGCTCTAGTCCTATCATCAAAAACTCTTTACCTGACGCACAGTCAATACCTGCGTGTTGAATATCTCTCTGGTCTTTGTATCTCATCCCCATTTTTTAAAGAATAAAGAACTTCTCTTGGGAGGCTGTGACCGTTTATTGTTGTGGTTGTTTTAATCAACAAAAGGGTAACTAATTAAATGGATGATTGGCATGAATATAGATAGACTAAGTCGATTAGAAACTTGTGTGCCATAAATTGTACACTCGAATCTAAGCCACAAACTTTGAGAGTTAAAGTTGCATTTTCAAAAACTTTTCTCAGACTGCACGTGGACATAAAATGCCCCTAAAGACATACTTCTGTTTTCCTCCCAGGAAATGAAGGCTCTGCAGTGTGCCTCTGGAGGCAACGTGAACGTGGAGATGAACGCGGCACCGGGGGTGGACCTCACGGTTCTGCTGAACAACATGCGAGCTGAGTATGAGGACCTTGCTGAGCAGAACCGCAGGGATGCGGAGGCCTGGTTCAATGAAAAGGTGAGACCAGCCCAGACAGCCCTGCCCGTGCCTCTATGGTGGGGACAGATGCCATTTAACCCACATATGCCTGGTCTTCCAGAGTGCCACTCTACAGCAGCAGATCTCGGATGATGCCGGTGCAGCCACCTCGGCCAGGAATGAGCTGATGGAAATGAAGCGTAGCCTGCAGAGCCTGGAGATCGAGCTACAGTCCCTCCTGGCAACGGTAGGCAAGAGCGTGGCTTGGCTTGGATTCTGTGATTCTAAAAAGCCTAACAGGAAATCCTTTCCTTCATCCTTACTATGTAACTTTACCTCCAAATTCTTGATTGAGTACAGAAGAGAGAAGGAAAAACAGATACAGAGACACTCAGAAAGAGAGAAAGAGCATTTTCTTCCTCCTTGAGATCCCTCAGAGCCTCCTCAGAGGCCCTGGTGATGCAGTGTGTTTGTATGCTACCCCAGAGATTCATGGTTCAAGGCCACCCAAAGGCACCTTGCAAGAAAGGCCTGGTGATCTCAGAAAAATCAGCCATTGAAAACCCTGTGGAGCAGTTCTGCTCTGACACACATGGACACAGGGTCACCATGAGTCAGAATCAACTCACTGGCAACTGGTTAGCTAGCAATCAAAGAGGACATCCTTCCTGGCCAGCACTTGGTCACTTGGTGGCCACGTCATGAAAATAACCAACATTTCACAGAGTTCCTTCCTTAAAGTAGTTCCTCCCAGTCCCACAGAGCAAGCAGCAGCAGGATTGCTCCACCTAAAAATTAAGCACCAGGTCATGTGGCTACACAGAGCAGCCAACCCTCAACTCAGCACCTCCTAATGTTGAAGACATTGAAAACATATTATAATTTCCACTGGGCAGCAAAAAAGAGGGCACACGTCTGAATCCCAAAAGAGCAGTGTTAGCCTCTTCCTCTCCACAATGTCTGGGAAGAAGTCCAATCCTCACACACCCCACAGAACCTGGCATTCACAGGCACCTAGTTTACTTCCAAGGTTACTGTGGAGACAACCCAAGACTAAATCTGCCTTCCCTTCTGGGACGTGAGCTGGCAGCACCCCAAAAGATTGATTTTGAGGACTCTGGCACACGTGTGGCCCAAGGGTGCCCTGTCTTCACAAGAGGTTTCACACTCCCTGAGGACACCAGGTTGTGACACAGAGAAAATCAGATATACAAAGGAATGAGACCAGAAGGAAAAGATCACTTAAAACAATAGGAAGGTTATTCTTATTTCAAGGAGCTCTGGTAGCACAGTGCCTAAGGCATTTGACTGCTAACCAGAAGGTTGGTGGTTCAAACCCACCAGCCACACCAAGGAAGGAAGATGGGGCAATCTACTGAATGAGACCAGAAGGGAAAGATGACTTAAAACAATAGGAAGATCATTCTTATTTAGCCACCATAAAAAGGCCTAGTGCTTTCTTACATACTATATATTATTTAGATTGGAGACTTGTTTTTACCATTGAATGACTCCAACTTAATCTTCTCACCTTTATTACTACTTCCAGGTGGTACTTAAGACCCTCTTTGCCAATTTGAGCTTCAGGGACCTTCATCTTTTCCCATCCTTTACTTACTTGCAACTAGAATCCTACGGACCCTGTTCCTGCAGCAACAGTTCTTAGCCATGCTGAAGGAAATACATTCCTGAGAGCCCAGATCACAATTTTAAGCATTTACACATAGAAACCATGCTATAAAGTAGTTCAGGTGTGTGCAGCTTCAGTTCATGACAATCCACACAAGCCCATTTAACACATACCTGCATCACAGAATATGGTGTGGCATAGGACCTAACTTCCACATCTCAGATTCTTTCATCATAGGATCAGTTCTGAAGTCAATCTTCTATGGCTTAGAATACAAAGCATTTGTAAATTCAGTTGCCTACATACATAAACATTTCACATGCTCCCTGTACAATGCAAACTTCCAAGTTGATCCTTTTCTCCTTCCTCATCTACAACACAACTTTAACAGCAGAAGACTGTGAACTAAGATGCTGTCCTTTCTGACTTACAAGAGTATTAAAATAAACACAACAAAAAGTTACTGTTGAGTCAATTCTGACTCATAGCAACCCCATGTGTGTCAGTTGAACTGTGCTCCTGAGGGTTTTCAGTGGCTGATTTTTCAGAAATTCATCACCAGGCCTTTCTTCTGAGATGCTTCTGAGTGGACTTAAACCTCTACCTTTTGGTTAGCAGCCAAGTGTGTTAACCATTTGTACCACCCAGGGACTTCACAAGAGTAAAAGCAACCTTAAAAAGGAATGCCATAGGAGGACACCTCATCAGGGAAATTACAGTTTTGAACTGCCAAGCAGACACCACACAGGATATGTTGTCCTGGGCCTCTCTCACCACCTGTTGCCTCACACTCCCCATAATCATCCTGTATACTCTCTACTCCTTTGCCCCTAGGAAGCCCGCAGCACCCAGCACCACATTAAACCCAATGTCTGCCATTTATGATGACTATTATATAACTCCCCCTTTATAATCTTAAGGAGCTCTGGTGGTGTGGTGGGTAAGGCATTTGGCCGCTAGCCAGAAGATCAGAGGTTCAAACCCATCAGCGGCTCTGAGGCAGGAAGACAGGACAATCTACTTCCGTAAAGATTTATAGCCTTCGAAGGTTTTGTTCCGGCCTCCGGCTTAGTGTCCGCCATCTTGTGTGAGTGGCTGAAGTGAAGGAGCTAGCCGGGAGGACCACAACCATAACGGCCCGCGGCAGGAGCAGACAGCGGCGGCGGCGGCGGCGGCGGCGGCGGCGATTCTAGGCAACCCCGGCAGCCGGGCAGAGGAGAAGGAGGGGAGCCACCGGGCTTGGCTTCGGCTCCTTGAGGCGTTGGCGGCGGCGCGGCCCGGGGAACCGGCATTGATGTCGAGCTCGCCGCTGTCCAAGAAACGTCGCGTGTCCGCGCCTGATCCAAAGCCAGGTTCTAACTGCTCCCCTGCCTGCTCTGTGCTGCCTGAAGTACCCTCGGTGCCAACCAAAGGAATGGCAAAGAACGACAGTGAAGCGGACATAGACGAGGGCCTGTATTCCCGGCAGCTGTATGTGCTGGGCCATGACGCAATGAAGCGGCTCCAGACATCCAGCGTATTGATATCAGGCCTGCGGGGCCTAGGTGTGGAGATTGCCAAGAACATCATCCTCGGTGGTGTCAAGGCTGTCACCCTGCATGACCAGGGTACTGCCCAGTGGGCTGACCTCTCCTCTCAGTTCTACTTGCGGGAGGAAGACATCGGTAAAAACCGGGCTGAAGTATCCCAGCCCCGCCTTGCTGAACTCAACAGCTACGTGCCTGTCAGCGCCTACACTGGGCCCCTTATTGAGGACTTCCTTCTTGGCTTCCAGGTGGTGGTCCTTACCAACAACCCCCTGGAGGACCAGCTGCGAGTGGGTGAGTTCTGTCACAGCCATGGCATCAAGCTGGTGGTGGCAGACACACGTGGCCTGTTTGGGCAGCTCTTCTGTGACTTTGGAGAGGAAATGATCCTCACAGATTCCAATGGGGAGCAGCCACTTAGTGCTATGGTTTCTATGGTCACCAAGGGCAACCCCGGTGTTGTTACCTGCTTGGATGAGGCCCGACATGGGTTTGAGAGTGGTGACTTTGTCTCCTTTTCAGAAGTACAGGGCATGACTGAACTCAATGGAAATCAGCCCATGGAGATCAAAGTCCTGGGCCCTTATACCTTTAGCATCTGCGACACCTCCAACTTCTCTGACTACATCCGTGGAGGCATTGTCAGTCAGGTCAAAGTACCTAAGATGATTAGCTTTAAATCCTTGCTCGCCTCACTGGCAGAGCCTGACTTTGTGTTAACGGACTTTGCCAAGTATTCACGCCCTGCCCAACTACACATTGGTTTCCAGGCCCTACACCAATTCTGTGCTCAGCATGGCCGGCCACCTCGGCCCCACAATGAGGAGGATGCATCAGAACTGGTGGCCCTATCACAGGCCGTGAATGTGCAAGCCCTGCCAACAGTGCAGCAAGACAACCTGGAAGAGGACCTTATTCGGAAGCTGGCATACGTGGCTGCTGGTGATCTGGCACCCATAAATGCCTTCATTGGGGGGCTGGCTGCCCAGGAAGTCATGAAGGCCTGCTCTGGGAAGTTTATGCCCATCATGCAGTGGCTGTACTTCGATGCCCTTGAGTGTCTCCCTGAGGACAAAGAGGCCCTCACAGAGGAAAAGTGCCTCCCGCGCCAGAACCGTTATGATGGGCAGGTGGCTGTGTTCGGCTCATACTTGCAAGAGAAATTGGGCAGGCAGAAGTACTTCCTGGTGGGTGCAGGAGCCATTGGCTGTGAGCTGCTCAAGAACTTTGCCATGATTGGACTAGGCTGTGGAGAGGGTGGAGAAGTCATTGTCACAGATATGGACACCATTGAGAAGTCCAATCTGAACCGACAGTTTCTGTTCCGGCCCTGGGATGTCACGAAGTTGAAGTCTGATACAGCTGCTGTGGCTGTGCAGCAGATGAATCCACACATCCGGGTGACGAGCCACCAGAACCGTGTAGGCCCTGACACAGAGCACATCTATGACGATGACTTCTTCCAAAATCTGGATGGTGTAGCCAATGCCCTGGACAACGTGGATGCCCGCATGTACATGGATTGCCGCTGCGTGTACTACCGTAAACCCCTGCTGGAGTCAGGCACACTGGGCACCAAGGGTAACGTGCAGGTGGTGATCCCATTCCTGACAGAGTCATACAGCTCTAGCCAGGACCCACCTGAGAAGTCCATCCCTATCTGCACACTGAAGAACTTCCCCAATGCCATCGAGCATACCCTGCAGTGGGCTCGTGATGAGTTTGAAGGCCTCTTCAAGCAGCCGGCAGAAAACGTCAACCAGTACCTCACAGACCCCAAGTTTGTGGAGCAGACACTACGACTGGCAGGCACACAACCACTGGAGGTGCTGGAGGCCGTGCAGCGCAGCCTGGTGCTTCAGCGGCCACAAACCTGGGCTGACTGTGTGACCTGGGCCTGCCACCACTGGCACACCCAGTACTCTAACAACATCCAGCAGCTGTTGCACAACTTCCCTCCTGATCAGCTCACAAGCTCAGGAGCCCCATTCTGGTCTGGACCCAAGCAATGTCCACACCCACTTACCTTTGATGTCAACAATTCCCTGCACCTGGATTACGTGGTGGCTGCTGCCAACCTGTTTGCCCAGACCTATGGTCTGATGGGCTCTCGGGACCGAACTGCTGTGGCCACGCTCCTACAGTCTGTGCAGGTCCCTGAGTTTACCCCCATGATCCATGTCTCTGACCAGGAGCTGCAGAGTGCCAATGGCTCTGTTGATGACAGCCGTCTAGAGGAGCTCAAGGCCATGCTGCCCAGCCCAGACAAGCTCCCTGGGTTTAAGATGTACCCCATTGACTTTGAGAAGGATGATGATAGCAACTTCCATATGGATTTCATCGTGGCTGCATCCAACCTCCGGGCAGAGAACTATGACATTCCCCCTGCAGACCGGCGTAAGAGCAAGCTGATTGCTGGGAAGATCATCCCAGCCATTGTCACAACCACAGCAGCCGTGGTTGGCCTTGTGTGTCTGGAGTTGTACAAGGTGGTGCAGGGGCATCGACAGCTTGATTCCTACAAAAATGGCTTCCTCAACTTGGCCTTGCCTTTCTTCGGCTTCTCTGAGCCCCTAGCTGCACCTCAACACCAATACTATAACCAAGAGTGGACATTGTGGGATCGATTTGAGGTACAGGGGCTGCAGCCTAATGGTGAGGAGATGACCCTCAAACAGTTCCTTGACTATTTTAAGACAGAGCACAAATTGGAAATCACCATGCTGTCCCAGGGTATGTCCATGCTCTATTCCTTCTTCATGCCAGCTGCCAAGCTCAAGGAATGGTTGGATCAGCCAATGACAGAGATTGTGAGCCGTGTGTCAAAGCGAAAATTAGGCCACCATGTGCAGGCGCTGGTGCTTGAGCTGTGCTGCAACGACGAGAGCGGCGAGGACGTCGAGGTCCCCTATGTACGATACACCATCCGCTGACACCATCCACCCTTCTAGACTGGCCCTAGTCTACCCTTCTCAGACCCCTTCTAGCCCAGGGCTCCCATTAGGCCTCTGGCAGTGGCACAGCTAGCTAAGCCTGGTGTTCCCTCACCATCTCCCTCCTTGAACCCCTCTTGCCACTGCTTCCTACCTTGTGTAAAACCTGAACCCTAATAAAGAATTATTTACCAAAAAAAAATATTTACAACCTTGGAAACCCAGTAATGTTGCTATGAGTTGGAATTGACTCAATGGCAGTGGGTGGGTTACAATCTTATAATGAAATCAATAGATAGTCTAAATTAGTAACACAAAAAAACTTTTGAAACAAACAACCAGTATAGTGCCATAAACTGCAATAAAAAAGAAAGAATACAAGAGAAATATTTTTAAATAAATGTGCATAATGTATAAATACTTGGACCTAAGTACTCTAGAACATGTAATGAAACAGACAGGACCTTGTACTTCTTTTATTTATTTATTTGTTTGTTTATTTGTTTTAAATAACTTTTTATAATGATTTGGGTGAAAGTTTACAGAGAAAATTGGTTTTCCATTCAACAATTCATACACTTCTCATTTTGTGACACTGATTGCAATCCCCACAATGTAACAACACTCTTCCCACTTCTTCCCTATGTTTACTATTCCCCTTCATCCTTCTTTCCTAACTCTTCCTGCCTTCTGAATTTTATCTCTGGACAAATGTTGCCATTTTGGTATCATATGGTTGATTATTCTGAGAAGTGTGAACCTCTCTGGTGTTATATTCATCTTATAGGCCTTTCTATTGTTTGGCTGAAAATTGAGCCATAGGTGTGAGTTCAGTTCCAGGGTTGAAGGGTGTCTAAGGGCCATAATCCTTGGGGTTCTACCAGTATCTTTCAGACCAGCAAGCTTGGTCTTTTTTATGATTTTGGGTTTTGTTCCATATTTTCCTCCCATTCTATCCATGATCTCCTACTGTGATCCTGTTCAGAGTGATCAGTAGTGTTAGCTGGACATCATCTAGTTCTTCTGGTCTCAGGGTCCTGAAGGCCAGGGTTCATGTGGCCCACTAGTCCTTTGGACTAATTGTTTCCTTGCATCTTTGATTTTCTTCACTCTTCTTTGCTCTGAGCTTGCACTTCTTTTAATAAATAATTTTTACTTAAAACTATGTACGATCAGGAGTTATTTCACACAAGCAAGAAGTAAAGGTAAATGAAAGAGTGGAAGTGTGGGCGGAGATAAAGATAATAACTAATGTCAAGAGAAGTAATAACTGCCTAGACACATACATATATGATAATGGAAAGAGGAAAATTACCTTAATTGGAGTAGGGATAATGTGCCAAGACAAATTACAGACTAAGGAGTAGAAATGAGGAATTATAATACACGTAAGAATAGTGTCTACATAATATGTGCTGTCTTACGAGATGGAGTAATGACCAAGTATCACAGAACACATATCTCTTGTCCTGCAATCCCACCCATGTTAAGGCATTCATCCAGTCTCAAGTGCTTAATTAAAAGGCCTTTGGTGGTGGTTGTTGTTGTTATGTGCCGTCGAGTCAAACCCGACTCATAGCGACCCCTCCTTGGGTTACCGAGGCAGTATCACTATGGAAGTAGGATTGCCCAACCTTCCTTCCGAGGAGTGGCTGGTGGGTTTGAACCGCCAGCCATCTGGTTAGCAGGCAAGTGTATTAGCCACTATGCTACCAGAGCTCCCTCCTAAAGGCCTTTGGTAGATGGCAGAAAATTTAGGATGAATTAGAAAAAGAAACAGCACACAAGGCCTTGAAAAGCAAGTGGGTAGACTTCTAGGCGGGAGCTCTGGTAGCATAGTGGCTAAGACACTTGCCTGCTAACCAGACGGCTGGCGGTTCAAACCCACCAGCCACTCCTCGGAAGGAAGGTTGGGCAATCCTACTTCTGTAGTGATACTGCCTCGGAAACCCAAGGAGGGGTCGCTATGAGTCGGGGCCGACTCGACGGCACATAACAACAACAACAACAACAAAGACTTCTAGGCAGTAGAAGAATAAGACTATAAAGCAACAGACAACCCAAAGCAAAGATAGAATTTCAAAACATAAGTTTTCCAGAATAGATGTCTTACTATACTATCCCCCAAAATTCTTCAATATATAATTTGGCAAAAATAGGACATACTACCTAAATATCACGATTGTCTAGTGGAACAGTCAAATCTCTCAGGAAAAGGTCACTTATCCCACTTGGCTAGTGCAGGTCAGGTCATCCACCAGGCCTGCTCCCCACTCAGTAAATGCCAGTCATGTCCCTTCTCCTACACACACTTTATTGTGACAAGACCTATAGACATCCACAGCCCACCTAGGGAGCAGTGCCGTTCGTTGCTCTTGGAGAAACATGGGTCTACATAGTCTTCAAAGGCATTTCATCCCTCGCTATGGCATCTTCTGCATCCACAGAAACACTCCCTGGAGTGCTCCTTGAGGGAAACTGAAGGCAGTTACTGTGCCCAGCTCACAGAGATCCAGGCTCAGATCGGGGCCCTGGAAGAGCAGCTGCATCAGGTCAGGACCGAGACCGAGGGCCAGAAACTCGAGTACGAGCAGCTCCTGGACGTCAAGGTCCATCTGGAGAAGGAGATCGAAACCTATTGCCGCCTGATAGATGGAGATGGAAAGTAAGTAAAACAATGTGAAAATTCCATTTTTACCTGTTTCAGACCACAATGATATGCTCTCATTCACTCTCCACACCAAGAGTTTTATTTTTCATTTCCACGGCAAAAAAAACATGTCATCTCTTCAATATGTTGTACATCACAGTGTCTTTCTCACCTGCCTTGGGCAGCCACAATAGTCCCTGCAGAAGCCCCACTTGTTGTCCATGTTAATAACTGTAGATTTCAAGATTCCCCTCCCCCCAGATTTTATCCTCCTTTCAATTCATTCCTAATATTGCTGCCTCCCAGTGCTTAGGTGGCACAATTAAGCAGTCAGCTATTAATCCAAAGGTTGGCAGTTTGAAATCACCCAGAGGTGCTTCACAGCAAAGGCCTGGGAATCTATTTCCAAAAGATCACAGACATTGAAAACCATATGGGGGGCAGTTCTATTGTGAAACACATGGGGTCACCATGAATCAAAATCAACTCAGTGGCAACTGGTGTGTTGGGAGCTTTAAGTTTGGGGGGGCATGTATAAATGCATGTATATCTATTTTATCTCTTTAAGCCTTAAATTCCTGGGCTTCCACATAACAAATGGTAGCAAGTTTTTTTTTATTTATTTAGATTACACTTAATTACTTTTAGCTCTTGCAGATAAAATTTTAAATATTTCTCTCTATGGAAAACTAAGAATTATTTTTGGCACACAAAGTTCACTTAAGGTCATATTTGTCTATTGATTCAATGAATATTTCTTAAATGATAGTAAAAAGAAATGTGAAAAAGAACTTTTTTTTTTTCCCCCCACAGTTCATGTTCCATATCAAAAGGCTTTGGATCAGGAAACTCAGGGAATATATCTAAAGGTAATAAAATCTATTTCTATTGCAGAAAATACTTTCATATTGATGGCAATCATATACTATACCAGCAGTCTATATTTAAGTAAGTAAAGTGTTCTGAATGTAAACATTTTAAGTTAATAAAATTACCCCAAACTATTATTATAAATCTATATTTACTCTTTCACCAAAAATATAGATATAATCTATTACATGACCACCAGGAGCTCTGATGGTTCAGTGGTTAAGGCATTTAGCTGCTAACTAAAAGGTCGGTGGTTTGGAACCCATCAGCTGCTCCAGGAGAAAGATGAAGCAGTCTATCTCTAAAGATTTACAGCCTTGGAAACCCCATAAGGCATTTCTCTTCTGTCCTACAGGGTCACTATGAATTGGAAGTGACCTGATAGCAGTGGGTTGGGTTTGGTTTTTATTATATGACTACCAGCAATGGAATTCTTTGTCATGTAATCTTTTAGGTTGAATATGTCTATTCATAAATATTTTATTTCTAGATTTACCCAAAACCACACTGGTAAAGACAGTGGTTGAAGAGATAGATCAACGTGGCCAAGTTCTTTCTTCAAGGGTTCACTGTATTGAAGAAAAGACATCCAAAATGAGCAATGGCAAGAAAGAACAAAGGATTTCCTTCTAGATATATTTTTAGAGAAAAAAGAAAATTGGGAGAATATCTCATACACTTGCATTACTACAAATATCAAGCAGGATAAAAAAATACTTTCTATTCTTTAAGCGCAGTTACTTAGTTTAAGAAAACATGTCTATTTTCCTACTTAATTTTCGAAGATCTTGGGTATTTGTTTTCAAATAAATAAAGCTGATGTTCACTCATTTCCATTCACTTGTGACTAAATAAATAATGCTATGTAATTTTTTTTTTCTCTGTCTAATTAAAAAGATCCTTGGTGGTGCAGTAGTTAAGTACTACTGCACACAACTGAAGGGTTGGTGGTTCAAACTCACCAGCTCTTTAGGAGAGAAAAACTTGGCAATCTGCTTCCGTAAAGATTATAGCCTGGGAAACCCTATGGGGCAGTTCTACTCAACAACAGCAAATTCACAGGGAGACATTTATGGACTATATCTTAATTACTTTTCACACTGATTTCAATAATAGTCAACACCACATGGAATATAATGGCACTTAAACATTAAATATTCACTAAGCATAATCTTTAAATCACACTATGTCTGCATGAAAGGAGCTCTCCTGGCACAGTGGTTAAGAGCTTGGCTGCTAACAAAAAGATTGGCAGTTTGAACCCACTAGCCACTCCACTAGAGAAAAGGCCTGGGGATCTGCCCCTGTGATGACTGAAGCCTAGGAACCCTGTGGAGCAGTTCTAGTCTATCATATAGGGTCACTGTGAGTCAGAACTGACTCCATGGCAATGCGTTTGGGGTTTTGGTTTATGTCTGCATGGGTAAGTAATCTGATAAAGTTCAGAAGTTCTCTGTGACTGAATAGTTCCACCACTAACTGGGTGCTTTGTTGGGATTTTTGCTTAGAACCTATCTCTGAATCTTCTGGAGATACTTTCCAGGATACCATTCCCCATATAAACAAGATGATCTCTGGAAATATCTACAATAAGCCTCATGTTAATGACTTTTTTTCCCAGAGCTGCTGTTGTTGTTGTTACGTGCCCTTGAGTCGGACCTGACTCATAGTGACCCCTTTTCAATTTCCTCATCTTTGGCTTTAGTGGTTGGTGCATAAATTTGAATAATAGTAGTATTAACTGGTCTTCCTTGTAGGCATATGGGTATTATCCTATCACTGACAGAACTGTACTTCAGGATAGATCTTGATACATTCTTTGTGATGATGAATGCTATGCCATTTCTCTTCAATTTGTCATTCCCAGCATAGAAGATCATATGATTCCCTGATTCACAATGGCCAAAACCTGTCCATTTCAGCTCACTAATGCCTATGATATCAATCTTTATGTGTTCCATTTCATTTTTGACAACTTCCAAATTTCCTAGATTCATACTTTGTACATTCCATGTTCTGATTATTAATGGATGTTTGCAGCTGTTTCTTCTCATCTTGAGTTGTGCCACATCAACAAATGGAGATCCTGAAAGCTTTATTCTATCCATATCATTAAGGTCAGCTCTACTCTGATGAGGCAGCTCTTTCCCAGTCATATTTTGAGTGTCTTCCAACCTGAGGGGCTCTTCTCCAGCACCATATCAGACAGTGTTTCAAAACTATTCATAAAGTTTTACAGTAATATATCAGACAGTGTTTCACTGCTATTCATAAGGTTTTCGCTGGGAAATTGTTGAGAAGTGGATGGCCTCTTCCTTCTCCCAAGTCTGTCTTAGCAACCACCACAATATGACAAATTGACAGACAAATTCATCTCCCAGAGTTGTTCCAAAATGCTCTGCTCCCTTCCTGGCCTCCTTCAGCCACTCCAAACCCACTGCCCCTGCTCAATTCCTTCCTGACCCCCCTCAGTCCACTCCAAGCCCACTGTGCCACCTCACTGCCTTCCCAGCACCCCTCAGGCCACTCCAAACCCACCACGCTGCCTCTCTTCCTTCCCCATCTCTCTCAGGTCATGAAAATTTGTATTTTTAGCAAATTTATTTTCAATCTATCTAATTAAAAGTGATGTCAAGTTGTTCTTGGAAAATGCAAAGTCTCAAATAAGTTTGGGTAATTTTTAATTTTAAGAAGAAAACAAACCAGGTGGAGAAATCAACATGAGCAAAGGCAAAGAGGTGGGAAGTAGGATAGTAGTAAAACAAAGGAATGGAGAGGCCTGGTAAGGGAGGATCTATATCAAGGAGAATATTAAATGCCATGCAAAGAGGCTTTATCTAGCCTAAAGTTGACAGAGAATCATTAAGGATTTTAAACTAGAGGAGAGCAGAGAAAGAGAAGAGATACACACTGACTACATATTATTGACAAGGACAGTTGTTTTATATAACTAATCCATACAACACCACAAGTAATGTCTCCACCTCAGAAATTTAAAACAAAACAACAACAACAACAAAAAAAAAAACTAAGTTTCACAGGGAATGAACTTAGCATTGGTTAACTAGCTAGAAAGTATCAGAGCTAGGGTAAGAAAGTTACTGTATCTGGTTCAAGAGCCCAAGTTCTTTCAATTACATGAATGGTGCTGTACTTCAGGAAGACTACCTTGGCACCACCTACTGAACATAATGGAAAGAAAGAAGACTTGAAACCAGAAATCCAATTAATATCCTAATAAGATCCAATACAATTCTAATAATTGAGTTGAAAATAATGATGAACCTAAAATGACGATGACAGAGGGATTAAGAAGGAAAAAAAGCTTCAAGAGACACTGTAAAAGTAGATTCAATAGAAACTAGTAGTCATTTATTAGATGGGAACTGATAGAAAATGGTAATAATTAAAGGTTTCTTAGTAATTTTGAGCATGACTCAGGATAATTCCACCAACAGCTAATCAAGTGTTAGTGATAAGGTGATTGCATGTTGAGTTGGAAGATAGACATGTCTGGTAGTTATAGTAAGATGTGGGTCTAGAAAGGAAAAGAGGCCAGTGGTAAAGATGGAGGCTTAGAAGTTATTCACATAGAGCAGAGGGTATGTGATAGAGCAGAGGATATGTGAAGGTATGAGATTAACAGGGGAGGGTATGTAGAAGAAAAGAATGCCAAACTCAAAATTGTAAAGAATGACAAACATTAGAGCACAGGAGCTATGAATGAAAGAGAAAGAGGATCAACTAGAAATGAAGAATTTTCAATATCCAATTGCTCGAGATTCAAGAAGACTGGGGTGCATTACCAAACAATATCAAGAGGACGTAGGAGAATAAACATGAGAAGTGATTATATTGAAGATGTGGTATGATTAGTGACATTTGAGAGATTAATTTCATTATAGTGGTAGGACCAAAAATCAAGAGAGTTGAAGGTGGAAAGTGGAGGAAATGGATGTAGAAATTTTTTCTAGAAATGGAAAAATATAAAAGAAATGCAAAATGAGAAATTCAGAGCTAGAAAAGGAACATATCCACTGTCATTGAGTTGATTCCAACTTATAGTGACCCCCATAGGGTTTCCAAGGCTGTAAATTTTTTTTTTTTAATTGTGATTTGGGTAAAGATTTGCAGAGCAAATTCACTTTCCATACAGCAGTTCACATACACTTTGTCTCATGACATTAACCACTGTTTACCACAATGCAACAGCTCCCCTCTTACTTCCTCC